GTGATTCTTTCATCCTTTTCTATCATGATTCAGAACTTTACATGTCCTTCAAAGAATTTGGTGCATATGGTGTTTTCTTGCTAGTAAACATACAAAAAGCGGTTGCAATGTTGATGAACTAAGCGGATTACATGCTATTGCACTGAGTATTGAGATTGTGTCGTAGACAAGTCGGAAGGTAGGTTCGTGAAGCCGAACATCTTAGCAAGAATTAACGAGTCACGAAGGGGTCATCGTATACGGTCAATGATGAATTCGTAAGATATGATTCAAAATAATTATCTGATTACTTCATGTTAACATCAAATTACAGGAAAATTTTATAAATTTGAAAACTGGAACCCAATTCTTTTGTAAATTGAAGCATCTGATTCGGTCTACCTGTGTTCAAGTTCAGAAACGCCTAGTATTGAATTTTTCAGTAGGAACTTTCACCCCATGACCATTCCCTCTACGACCATATTCATTGCTCGGATAGCAAATGAAGTCATCCTTTGACAGTAAAATACAGTTCTCGTTGTTTTTGAGATCTCAGGGACCCAATTTACTAGACAGGATCATATTCAGGGTAGCAACTTTTGGTGAAATGGCAGCGTTCCACTGTCAATTTTGCAAACTCAAACTAAATTACAGTGTCGTAGACTCGTACCATGTGTACCGTCCTCTTTCTAACGCTCAAGCCTGTAAGAAGTTAAAAACAAGCTAAACCGCATCCGAATCAAACACAAGATAAACTTTTTTCCCACTACGTCCGGCAGGAGTTGAGCTCCGAAGTTAAATCCTACATGAGAGAGTGAGAAAATCTCATTGCAAGCACCTTTACTCAAACGTTGCAAAGTGAAGGGCAGGAAGTCTAACTGATGGCTACCTTTCCTGGAATATTGCTGTTCAAGCCCGAGGATCGCCGGAGTCCCCATCTTCGTCGCCGAGGCACATGCTGGTAACATTTTCTACACCTCTTCCCTCTGTTTGTTCCTCCTCCATCTCCATTCTACCGTTCATGTAATACATCATTCCAACGTCCAGCCCTGCTGTAGAGGAGAGTCGGCATATGTACAAAGAAAAACTGGTTGCGTGAAGACGAATGATAGGTGGAATTATCTGGTTAATTGCATTTTGGACAAACTTGACATGGACTTCTATTGAGGAAGATCCCCCCCCCCTGTGTTAGTTCCCGTCAGCGGCATGTGGTCCTCGCAGGATCTATCGTGCTCACCTCTTTTGCAGGCACTGGTCCTACCCTCTTTGCTCGCCTTCCGCTGCCTTCATCAGAAATAAATAGTATTCCGCATGAATTTGCAATAGATCCAACCACAGTGCTTTGTAAGGGTTGGGAATATTATATTCGGTTTCCAATCATACTTTTCGGTTCTGTTTTCTTTGCTTAACCACGAGGTTTTTTAAAAGAATACCCTATCGAAACGCAGAAAATAATTTGTGAAAACACATGATCAGACCAAGTAAACAGGATCGATCTTATATTATCATATTCATTTGTATTCTTTAGTTTAGTGGCTCTTGCAGAACTCAAACCAACTTAAAGCTTCAAGTTGTTAATCGACTTGAAATGTGATACGAATCGAGGATTTACATCACCACCGTGTGGTTCACATTTCGTAACCGGAATTTTTTTTTTATTATTATTATTATTCTATTTTTGTAACCATTCTCCAACATGTTTTCTTATATTATTCCCTTTAAATAAATAGAAAATATAATTTTATCCTTAAAAAAAATTAATTTAATTTTTTTTATTATTATTTAAAATAGAATACCAATATAGAGACTATATATATATATATATATATATATATTCCTTGATCCATTCAAATTAACCAAATTTTTCTTGATTTATTTTTTTCTTCTAATAGTCTTTAATAATAAGATCCAAACTTGGCACTTTTATAAAATCCAATAACTAAGATTTATCACCTAATATTTCTAAGATTACTCAAAATATCAAATCTAAAATATCACGGTTTTTTTCTTGCATAAGATATTCTACCTAAAGTTATTTGAGAGGCTTTATTTTAAGACAAATTTGATAAATCAGAAGAGGTGTGCAAGGAGTATAATTTCTTACTTTCTTCTATTTCTTCTTTATTCCTTTCCATTTCACCAGCATCACCTTCTATTAGACGTCTATTGCTTGGCAATATTGCCACCATCACTTCAAAAAACAGGAGTCAACGACTGATTTCAAAGTCCAAAAAGAAATCTCTAAAAAAACACTATTTGATGGCAAATGTGTTTGTAAAATCATTATAATTAAAAACTACCATAATGATAGAGCATTTGATTATATTAAAGCAAGAAAGTGAGAGAGCTAAGGCTTATTTATTAAAATAAAAATAAAAATAAAGGAGAAGCTAGAGAGAGATAAGATGGCATGTGAAAGAGAGAAATTGGCTGTAAAGTAGGAAAAAAGAGAGATGATTTGAAAACATGATAGAGAGGACAAGGTCTTTGATTTGGTCTAGTTTTAATTAATTTAAGGAAATAATATACAAGAAATAGAGTATATTATACCTCTTGAGATAAAAGCATATGAAAAAAAAAATTGATTTGTAAATTGAATTGTATTTATCATTTTATGTCTCAAATTTCATGGTTTGTGTTGCAAGATTGCACCAATAACAACTCTAAAATCTCATGCATTGGCCCAAATTTCATTGTATGGGATTAGCATAGGGAGATGTGAAGAAGCCTCAAGTGAGAGATCATGGAAGCCTCTATTACAAGATTTAAGGTTCCATAGATGTGAGGTTATGGAGGCCTTAGATACTGAATGTAAGGTTCCTTAAGTGTAAGATTATAAAGACCTTGGATTTTGGAGAATACATCCTCGTGAGCTATTATGCAAGAGAGTAGAAATTGACAATTTCTATTATGTATATTGAGATAATATATTTTATTTTGTACTAAATTTCTAATCTTACAAAATTCTTTTATTTTATTACATAACATTTTTTATAAAATAACCAATCTTACAAAATTCTTATATTTTATTACATTATATTTCTTATAATATAGTGAATCTTACAAAATTTTGGCATTTTAGAGCCTTTCTATAAAGAACCTAAAATTCAAAAATTCAAAAAAATTTATAGTAAGGTTTGAATTAAAAAATAACTTTGCTTTATATAAGATCTTAAAAAGTTGGAATTCTACTTTGTTGTAGCTAGAAACTTGGGCAATCCAATCTAATCAAAAGAAATATATCCTTAGAGTCCAACCTTTCTAAATTGCATAAAACTTCATCAACCTTCTATGCGATGAAGTTACTAATACAAATTACAAAGTCTATTCTAAAGAATTAGTATTATTCCTTGAATTCTCTTGTGACATAGACATCTCGACCAATGGAAAAGTAACTTGGTCAAATAAAGAATTCATTTTGATTAAAGATAGATGAATATGCCCTTGTGATTGAGGTGCTTTAATCAAAGGCTGGTAATTACATTCATACTTTGTCACAATGCTTTCTATTTCACAACGTTGTATGGAATCTATAAGATGAAAGATATTTCATATATCCTAAATCCTATTATACTACATTCCATAATTTTGCCCTATTACCAACACTTCTTCCATATCAAAATCACCAATAATAAAACATTTCTTTCAATTCAAGTCACCTAATGATTAATCCAATGATACGGCGGTCAAGATCACAAACAACCTTAGTATTGACAAATTACTTCTTCTTCTTGATTTAGGAGGAATTGTGTCTCATTGACAAGTCCAATGCAACCTTTGAATCCTAAAAGGCTAAAAGATTGGTTACTTTGAAGCCCTTAGGCAATATCTAGCCAGCATAGATATTGTTGTTCAAGTCAAAGAATGGTCTAAATCACTTGATTTGTAAAGATACATACTATATAATTACCAACACTCAAGTCCTTTTCAATCTTCTAATGCTGACTCCATTCTTATTTGACCTAAGATACTTTAGTGCTACATCCAATTCCTAAGCAATATCACTTTGTGGACAATGACTTCCATTTTTAAAAACAAGGTGGTCTTTGATGGCTAAAAGCACCATCTAAAAGCCCTTCTTTGACGTTTTTGTAGTTTGGCAAAATTAGCCATGAAGCTCATGTATAAAATAATTCAAAATCCAATTGTGTGATTTGGATATGATGTTTCAAATGAATATGTAATGAAAACCATTGATTGTGCTGTAAACCATTGCAAGTTCTTCTGCATCATCAAGCTCAAAGAAGTCATTTTGAAACTTATTGTCAACTTTTTCACACTAGCCAAGGCATGGTGAAGTTACAATGTAGTATGGAGTCAAAGAGGTTTAGGATTTGTTGTTTTTCAAAGAGCTAAGGCAAGCAACACAATTTTTGATATTCCACCCACCTCTTTTTTGATATTTTGATTTCAAACTCACCCACCTTTCAAAGTGAATGACTTGGTGAAGTATCAAGTGATATTTTGAAATATCACGAGATACTTTGAAATCTCATCACAAGTGAAATATCACCCAAAAAGGCCATGTCTGAATCCCCTAGTGAGGATTCTTTATAAAGCATTTCACAATAAAAACATTTCAAAATATCACTTGATAAGTGATAGACAAGGAGGCAGAGGTGGCAAAATGAGAGAAGGATGTTGGAGGCAGATGGCAATAGGTTGAAGGCGATGGAATCTAAGCAACCATTCCTGAGGCAAATGGGAACGGAATGAACTGAGCAGGTCCCCACGAGCTGAAGCTGTCATACAGCATGACAAAGAGTTCTGTTAAATTTGGATGAAAACATCCCAACTAAAGTTAGAAAGCATGGATCACTCACCCTGACAAAGATCTATAACCTATTTAATTATTTTTTCATATGAAACTCATGTCAATCAAATTATGAAAGTCATACTTTCTTGACCACAACTTCACGTGTTATAAATTCTTCAATTTAATTTTCACCCAAATCTTATGATTGGAGTGTAGCAACCCACGGAATTATTGATCACATTGCAATCAATTCTGAGTCTCATCATGACCACAAATCTCATCAATAAAAATTTTGGTACAGGCAAGAATAGCCTTGAGACCTTGTCAAAATGATACATTGAATTGTTGTCACTGACTGGAAATTTTAGGCAGTGTCCTTAGGGACATGCAAGACCAGCTAGTTCGTGTGTACAAAATGTTGAACCTAATGCAACTATTAGCATCTACAATTCTAACCATGCTGTCCACTTAGTGCACAGAATCTACTTACCAAGAATGTGTAGCACAACCAATACAAACATTAACTACAAGAGGGTTTTGTTACTTAAATCTCTTTATGGGCGGTATAGTCGCTGAGATATGGTGACAGAGCGACGGCAGAAAGGACAGCGGGTGACCGCCCTTGAGCAATTTTGGCACAAAACATGTCCACAAGGAATTACAATTGTATCCACCTCATTCGTCAAACAAACGCGACACGTCCATGCTGCACGGGCAGCTTCAGCTTCCTTAACCGCTGTCTCTGCCCTTCTCTGTTTTCCAAAAAACATTGCGTTAGTACAATGTAAGTGGCTAATGTGCGTACTCATTTGAGGAGTGATGCAAGGGAGTGGGCAGAGAATCTAGTCAGAACAGTTTCGGACCTTAATTGCACTAACGCCACTATTTAAAGATGTTCCCCGTTGATTCTCAGTAAAAATTTATCAAAGGCGGATGTGATCCACATTGATTTACACACGAATTTAAATGCCATCAACGCTGCCAACCATTACATAGAATTCCTACAAATTCACTTCAAGATAATCCGGCCATTTCTGAATGTCGTATCGATAATTGTATACAGCAGCATTATAGTCAGTTGAAGACAAACCTGCTCTTCTATAAGAGCTGTGTCGACTGCCGTTAACTGCTCCTGCAATGTCAAGGAGTGCTCCAGCAAGGATATCTGATCTGCACCCATAGGTAACCCAGCAGCAGCCAACATGTCCCTCACTGCTCCTACTACCTCAGCAGCTGGAACATTTCCTGCAACTTGTCCTCGAGATGATTCCTGTTTCATGTCCAAATAAAGTTTCGTTTAATACTCAACTGCTGAAATCTACTAGAATCTTAAAACCCCTAATTCTTAACAGATACGTGAAGGTCAACACGTGATGTTCTAAAGATAGGATGAAACGCACCTGCACTTCTGAGGTTTCAGGAGTAGTCTCAGAACGTGAGTCTCTATTAAGCCTATGAACAGGTTCCAAGATACTGGTGCTATTGACAGCTTCTGGAACGTTATCCTCAGAAACGAGGCTCGTCGCAGCCATAGTGGCAGCAGCTGTGCCTTTGAATGACAGAACTTGAGATGACAAAAGCAACTTTATTGTACTGGGTCCTGTTTCCACCTCAAGCCGATACATTGCCTGCCCAGCTGAAGCACGGACGTCATGTAGTACACGCCCGTATCGCAGCCCTCCTTGTTCATCCGGCCTCCATGCAACAATTTCCCCAGCATGAAAAGGCCGCAACGGATGGCATTGCACGAGTGCTGCATCAGCACCTACTAATTCCATTCCTAATACTCCACTATTTGCCATCGAGTTCTTGCCTCTGTTGTTTGCAGTCAAACCTAATCTGAGAACATTCAATACACTTAAATCTGAACCTATTGGCGCCATAAATAACGCACCAACTGGAAGGCTAACTGGGCTTCCAATAAGACGACTTAAAACGACTGCTAGCAGATCTGGTAAGGTAACACCCTGAGCTGGCACTGCAATCAAGATCCGACTTCTTGATTGGTCAACATGCTCAAAAACCCTGTGTCCTATATCCCCACCATGTTCGTCATCTATAAGAATAGCAGAATCTTTTTTATATCGTCGTGTGACATCTGTACGGGCTGGCAGCATAAGAAAACGTGTGTAAAGTCGTCTTACAAACCAAAGTCCGTCAGCTGCATAGCCCAAATATTTTACTAGCTTTTCCTTGCTTAACGCCACTTTGAGAGCTGGTATACCATCACTTGCTTCTTGCACAATAGCCCACATCGCGTCCGCAAAAGAAGAACTTCGCAACCTTTCGGCGATTGAATTTCGCGTAAAATCACCAATGCTATCCAACATCTCAAGCGACCTATTCTCGTCCAGTTCCTACAGCAATCGCAAATTCCACAACTCAGAAATGACCACAGAAAAAGTTGGATAAAAGTTGGCAGGGAACCCACTTGATATGAAAACACCAGGAACACGTAGTATAACAATATGTAGGAAGCCAGAATCTCTTATATTAGTCAAATGACCGTTCAGGTTCAGCATTAATCTTCTCATTTAAACCAGGTGGAAAAGATTTAGATCTCATGTTCACATATACCATCATCGAATGAGACGCTGGAGAATATGAAGAAAGCATTACTACCTCAACAATAACTTCGGAGAGCTTTCGAACACCCAGTTCAACACAAAGTTGTTCCGTAACATGGGGATGCACAAATCTCACACGAGATGAATCTATCTTTCCAACCAGACTTGCACCAGCAGAGTCTGGATACACACACGATTTTGCTTGCAGAAGCCTGCCACCATCATCAGGCACCACGGCATCTACAGCAGGATCAGGCAACGCGTGGCTCTTCATTGATTTAACCCTGTTAGCCTTATCACAGATGAAGGTTAGAATACGTAATACAGCTCGTAATTCATTGGGGTTTAGACGTTGATATCCACAGGTGTGCTGCAGCTGTAAAAGCAGCGCTCGCATACTTTCGAAAGTCGGCGAGTTTGTCATTCCCAATGATGTCAATACATCCACATATGCCAAGTAAGCACTTGGGAGCTCAAATACAAACGGAGCCAGATCCATGCCCAGGCGGGCAAACAATGAACAAGCTGCTGCCAAACGTGTGCCATTTGCGACCGGTATGAATTGCAATGCTCTTAAAGCATCTTTGTCTGCCAGAATAATACAAGGATTTAAATACGATGCAAAATTTCAAAATGAAAATCAATATAAACGTTAACATTGAAACCTATCTTTTTACGCTTAAGCAAAATATAGACTGATTAGCAAATTTATATACACTGCATTGATTAATTCGCACCAGAATCTGAAAGACCATCCCATGCGCTTGTAAGATACTTGAGCACGTCTCCAAAAGCATCCTCTACGGATCTCATGCCTTTTCCGTTTGGCCACCTTGCCAGAATATCTTCACCCCCATTGCGACCAACCATCTGCAAAATATTCAGAACCTTTGGTCATAACCATAGGAATAGACTTCTAACAAACTTTATAGAAATTAATCACACGGCATCCAAGTTGAAAATACAACAAGCAGATGCGATCACGTTATTTTCTTCATCAAACGAATTAATAAATAAATAAATCTAGAAACCATAATAACTTGAAGTACTTAATAAAATGGTTGAAACATACCTTGAGATGTTTTACCACAGTGGAGAAAGGGGGAGGATGTCGCAGACGGAATGCTCCCCAAGAAAACTCGGGAGGAACGACGTTAGACCTGGCGAGTATTGGAGCACAAGTCCAAGCTAGAGGCCAGTCTTTCACAAGAACTACTTCATTGTAAGCCGCTAGTACTTTTCTGCCACCACTAGACCCACCAATACTTGGCATGCCCCTTTCTGCTGGCACGAAGGCAATACGACCAAGGGCTTCACAAAAGCTAGTCCCATAAACTGATGCGAAATTGCTTAAAAGCGCTTCTGTTAGCATGCCTGCAGTAATCCAAAGCTCACTAGAAACGCCATTGTTGCCGGCAGACTCTGAATCAAAGTCATCCTTTAACTCTGAGTCATAAATAGATTCCTTTCCAAGGCTCTCAACTTTCTTTGCACATTCCAGTAGTAGCGGAGAGTCTATAGCTGACCGTAAGCCTGCAACCCGCAAAACTGCTAACCATGCACCAGTAGCAAACTGCCCTCCAGGAAATTTGCTTGGCTCATCAGCAAAGATGCGTTTAAGCAAAGTACTTTCTGGGTCCATTAGATCTGAAGGACGATACATGACTGGATCGCCAGACAAATTCTTAACAAACTTAGTTTCACTCAACACAGCAACCAGATTCTCGTGCTGCCTATGAGATGACCAATTACTCAAAAGATATCCCAATATTCGTTCCTGTTCGCGTTCAGATTGTGATTCGAACCCAGGTAAAGCGAATCTTCCCATCACTTCATGATCAGCAAGTTCTGGAATACCTAGAGCCTGGTAGAGTGCTCCACCTTCTGATATTTCACGGTATTCTAGACAGAGGTCATCGTCTGGTTGAAGAAACATACTCGGGGGTACTATGCAATGCATGTGTTGGTCCAAGGTTACATAGGTGCCTGTGCGAGTCTTGTAAATAGGGAGTAACCTCAGCATATTAAGCTCCTCCGAGCTGTAACCCAGAGCTGCAGATTGCGCAGATGGGGATGAAGCGAACAGTCTGAAAAGAGCATCACAGTCTGCAGGTGTAAAAGCTAGGTCTGAGGGGGATAGGCATCCGGCTTGCTGAAGTGCCAAGAATATCGCTACCACAGCCTGGGCAAGAGACTTCTCAGGAGGAGGCACACATACATCAAGTATACTGCAATCCAAAAACCGTCGATCATAGACGGGAACACCGCAATTTCGCAATAGCGGCAGCAGCCATGGGTGTTGCCTTTCAAGATCCAAATAACCTCGCGTACTGTCATCCACGTCGGCATCTGCAATAACATCCTCCCCTGCAGGACTGGGGAGCCGCTGTTGTGGTGATGGAGGTACAAACACCAATTGTCGTTGACCAACACGAACCAGCACAGGTGTAGATGTGACAGCAGGAATCAAAGGCCATTGCGAGAAGAGAGCGAGCTCCTCGCTTGAAGCAGCATTTATGTTCTTCCACAGCAACCGTAACCATTCTGCAGTAGGTCCTGTCATAGGGTTCATTGTCCATCCCACCCAAGGAGCTGCAGCTGCTACAGCCCCTCGTGGAATCCAATGTTTCGGAAGTGCAGCACCAAGATTAGCTGCCAAAACTTGAGAGGTGAATGGCTTTAGCTTCAGAAGATTCTGAAAAACATGATCATGAAAGAGATCTGCAAGAACGGTACGTTCAACACATAAAGCATGCACAAATCTTGAACCAGAACTAGGGAGAAGATCTTGCTGCTCTTTGCTCCCAACCCAAAGCTCAGTCATACCCAGCTTGGTCATTTGGTTCGTTGCAGTTGGACACAATAAACCCTTCAGATCAAGCACTAAGGATGGATCCAAGGTGGAATCGTCATCTGTTCCTGACACTAAGCCTGACGCATCTTGACCATCTCTACTAATATCATTCATTACACCTGTACCAAAATCAGCAAGAGCCCTCCCAATATCAGAAAACCATTCCAAAGGATCCCGCCCATCCGACGACATGGACGGCGCCTGATGTTCAGAGTGAGCTGGCTGATCTGAACGCAGGAGCCCAGGAGTCCTCAACCTGGGGTTGTTAAGAACCTGCAGTCCAGTAGGCTGTCGTAATGAGGATCTAATGCTGTGCACCTCAGTGGAATTCGTCTGCATATTTCCAGACTCGTCTGCTTCATTCTGTAGTTGAGAATAAGCCATGCTCGGATGTCTAGAAGTAGCTGGTTTTTCTGTATGAAGATCAGTACAGCAAAATTCCAAAAGGTCCACTTGAGTCACAAAAGAAGGAACGGCAGCAGCAACCGTTGGAATTTTAAGTAAACTCCTCAACATTTTGGGCGTCAACTCCTTTGCACTCACTCCAGCAGCTTCCATTTCTTTGGTAAGTTCCCAAGGAACCGCGAAAACACGGTAATGAGCTTTTAGAAAATCACAAACGGTTGCAGGAGGGGCCATGCCCTGTCGCTTTGTCCCAGGGGGTAACAAAAACATTCCGTCTGTGGCTTTGGCCATAGCACCCCCATGCAGCTGCCACATGGGCAGTTCCACCAATCGTGCATACATAGGTTTAATTAACCATTCAACCAAGCATTGTCCCTCGACTGCACGAAGATCCGTCGACGTGAATGCTCTTGATCTCGGCCAGAAAGAGTAAGCACGCTCTGCAGGGACTCCATACGTGCCATCGAGACCACGACCAATAGGTGGATCGGCTCGTGATGAAGAAGGATCCTGTCTCAACCGTTGAAGCTCTTGGAGCAGCTCAACATATGAATCTCGTACACATGACAAAAGTTCTTTGTTCCAAGCGGCAGCCACATTTTCAAATGAGATTCTTGGTCCAGATGATGAACTTATTGACAAATCTGGAAGAGCGAGGCTCTTGAACAAGTGACGAGTGGTGTCTTGACGAATCAAGAAATTACCAATGATGGTCACTGGCAGTCCAGTGACCACGGGAACTGGCAGAGGCGCCAATATGCAACCATCAATATCGACATCTGGAATTGATCCATTACGTGAAATATGAGCTGCTACACCCGCAATTGGTGTCAGATCATATGAAAGATATTTCCTGCAAAAGAGTCGAGAAACTCAATTCAGTACAATTGCCCTTTAAGTGCTCAAAAGCTTCTGTGCACAGATATTACATACAGAAAAGTAGAGACCCAGAGTCATTCTTCCACAACGTTATCCTTTCAAGTGATTTCAATGCTTGCAAGAGCAACTTGTGAAGGATAAGCGGATTTGATGTGAGCCATTTATAGAACAGAGAAGGAAGAGGTAGAAAGACAAAAAGAAGAAAGAGGATATGTCAGGTTTTAGAAACACCTGTCTAAGGCCATGTCACGGGTACGGCCGGAGCCTAGGCACTGAACCACCAGCCATTTATCGACTAGTTTAGTTCCATCTTCTGTGAGGAGGATATCAATGGTGTGCACTTTGCATGCTGAGCTAGATCCACCAAATATGCTGGTCAGCTGATATTTAAAATTACGCCATTTCTTTTCTTGAAAGGGATTTCGCAACAATGCTCGTGCTGGATCCACACGTACTGCAAACAGCCCGTGAGGTGCAATCTCTCCTTCCTCCCAAACCGTGACAGAAACCTAGAAGAGATATCAAAGGAAAAGGATATTACAACCAATGTGCTAGTTGCAAGGAAAAGAATTAGATCTGCTCCCACTTGCGGATTTGCTTAAGCTACTTAGAATTGGAATGCAAAGACCTCACACCAGCCATAACTAAGCAGACAACTTATGGAAGAGGGCAAATTTATGTGATCTCCAACACCGGCATCAGCTTCATAATAGTACCTAGCTACAATGCAACTGAGTGACTTACATCTTCAACTGCTTTTAAAGACAGCAGTGCACTTGAGGCACGACTCTTGAAGTTCTCAAGGATGCTTGCAATATCCGTATCCCTACACTCCTCAGCATCTTTGAATTTGCCATCAGCTACCTGTTCTTTCGAGCGCAATGGAAATCTAAATATTGTTGCATCAGTCCTTGCCCAGGATAATGATGACGAAATTTGCAAAGGGCGAAATTGATCGGAGAACCTTTGAGCCAAGTCCGTATCTGGTTCAAAAACAATGCAATGCAAACCAGTTTAAACCTTAAACCTATTTCGTCATAGCTTACGAGCAAAAAGGACAGGTTGAAGAGTCACTTGGTAATGAAAGTGTGACTTAGGATCATTGCAAACCATAAGGCTACAAGCTACCAAATCCAAATAGCTAGGCATGGTTCCCTGAAATGGTTGACAAAAACACACATTGTTTCAAAAGAATAAATGAATAAAATCAAAGCATTCTAAGCGTATCAAATGAGGCAACAGGGAAGATAAATAATACCTTTCAAAGCAAAAGCTTTCCCTACGGGCATCCCACCGGAAACAGTAGCTCGTGCATCATTTGGTGATGCCGCAAGGACTTGCCCAGGCGGATCAAAAAGGTACAAGCAACCACTGGAGACAATGAACAGGAGTTCTGTGACATAGTAAGCACCCAATAGGCCAGTACCGTACTGACATGACTGTCCACGTAGCTTAGATGGCATGCCTGTTTGAAGAGAGCAAATTTCTTCTGTGGTAAGAACTGCTCCTTCAAACGCAACGGTTAGAGCTGGACCTTGAAATACACCTGTAAAATGAACAATTATTATGTAAGTAACGAAAGCAACAACTTCATGCATGCTAACTATTACTACGAACGCTTTTCATTTGTCCATCCCATAAGCTACGGGCACGTCCTATTAATGTTCCGGATTTGATTAAAATTCTTTCAAAACCATTGGACTTTCAATATCCCAAGTGCGTTGCCAGCTCAACAAATTCTTGAGTACTAATTCCAACTGCAAGGATTAAAAAGATCCCATGTAACCCAAAAGATAAAGGTGTGAAATAACAACCTAAGTTGGGCTGAAGAAGAGATTGTCGAGGGTGTTCTCGTTTATCATACATGAAGTGCACCTTCCGCGCTTTACAGCAATCAGCAATTTCTAGAAGATCAAACATCAAAAGGCTTCTATTCTCCCTCTCTGAAAGGATGTCAGAAATGGTGGAAGTGTCTGGGCATGGCAAATTGCTTGTCATTTCCTGGTCTACCAAGGAGAGATAACGTAGGGATTTGGCACCTAATCGCTCTGCCAACTCATTATCAATATCTGGATGGACAAGTCGGCGCATCCCAGTCATTCCAGAGGCACTTTTAGTTAACCACGGAGCATCATTGTAGATTAAATCCTTCGCCAAGGCTAAGATTCCTGTGTCATCAGGCATCACAACTGAGGCTAAAATTGAATGCGCCTCTACATTCAAGGGAATTACTTCTGAAAGGGCTTCTAGGACCCTCAAACAGAATGTAAGTTGCTCTTTTGCCAGCACCCCTCCCTTCATGTCCAAGGCAATTCGGCGGAGTACATTTACATAATCAATAGCCTCGAACTTCTCTCGTACACCGAAGATAGTAAGCAACTTTCGAAACTCCACAATTTCACTGGGAACTATGTGAAGATATGGATGAAAATGAGCTGGTGAATCAAAAGCAAGTTGCTTTGGAAAAACAAATCCCTCTCCAACCCATACCCACGGAATCCCAGCAAGCACTTCTTGAACAAATGTCAAATCTTTGGTACCAACTTTCTCCTGCAGCAACTTGTAGAGAGAAGGCACTTCCCTGTTAAAAGTTTCATTTAGCTCCTGAAGGGCATTCGCTTCATTGACCACGGTATTCTGCCATTTACCATGCTGTTTCGATAGCTCCACTAATTGAGCTGCCAAAACGGTAGCATTTGGATGATCTTCCCAGCCAAGCTTTGCTGCCAGGCCTGAAGATCGACATTCTCCGTCCAAAATGAACATAGTTGCAGAAACAAGCCACATTTGAGATTTTGGACGGACCATCTTCGGAGCAGCAATGGGACTCGTGACTTGCTGCCACGGAAGCTTGTCATCTGGTGCCCATGTAAGGACAGGACACCAATTTATATTAGCCAGCTGCAACCAGAATCCTGCCTCCATTTCATCATTTGTTGGATGTTGTTTTGTCGTAGTGCCAAGTACCCGTTCTTCAAATTCAACGCCACGGGACTCATGTGCAATCTGAAGATCGTCCATATGAGCAAGTAGAGCTTTTGCTCTGTGAACAGCTTCAGACGGATTCTGACTACTTATCATAGCCACAGACCGTGCACTGTCTAAAAGACCACTATGACCCAAGGATCTCTTCAAGCCCAATTCCACCAATACGTCTAAAACGGCATCATCGGCAAAATCACCTGAAGGAAAGAACACATCCTTGTTGAGCAGTGTCTGAAGTTCAGGAACACGAGGATCGTACAATCTGGGGTCAAGCAACTTCCCAATCAGTCTACATCCATGAAAGCTTGTTTAGAACAAAGAGGAACTATTATCTCACACTAAACTGAGGGCATGAATCAGAAACTATCGGAAGGTTAAATACTAAGCCCTCAAAATTTAGATAATAACGTATCCATGATTATATACTAAATTTTGAAAAATAGAGACAAATGCGCAGCACTACCCCATAACCACTACATGACGTGTCTGAATTCTCAAAAAAATACCTATTTCTCTTGAATGGGATTAAAATGCGCGAACAAGCTACATCAATCAACAAGCTGTTAATTTACCTTTCTGGAGCTTCAAGAATGCCTTGTGCTGTGAGAACAAAAGGCAAACTAGACATTACATTCACGAGAGCTGGATCTTCCTCAACAAATTTGGAGTAGTCCAGAATGATAGCCAACATAGCTCGCGTTGTAACGGCTACTGGAATCTGAGCCATATTGCTAAAGAGGTGATCACGATAGAAAACTGCTCTGTTCAACTTAGTCACCCCCAGATATACTGCCAAAACCTCCTCTTCCTTCTGAGACTCCGCCCGAATAAAATTTTCCCCCAAGAGCTCCTCACTAACATCATGCGGTGCAAAGAACCTCTTGCCGTGTGGCAAATCTGTAAATCTACGCCCACTACGAGAATACGACTCGAATACGGGTAAGCTTCGCAGAACTTCAATATGGGATGCATTCAATTTGCCAGAGGCAAACCACTTAGATTGACATAAGAAGCTGCGAAGTTCGCGAAGCTCCCCATCTGACGCATTTCGCAATGAGTGAGCCAAGGATTGTAGCTGCCCACCAACCGCTGCTCGCAATGAATCTAAAATTCCAAACGCTGATGCATCATGCACGTATTCCCCCAAAGATGCATGCTTAATCTGCATATCAGACCTCAATATAGCACAACCAGCCTTCTGCAGAACACTTACCATGTTCTCACTCCATCCTTCATCTCTTATTACACGTGAATGTTTGACCAAACTGATCAAATGGCCATCGAAGGTGGGTAATAATGGCCATTCTACAAATACAGATAAATCGTTACATGATGAATCTAGGAAATTCCAGAGCAACTGCATCCATTCCAAACTAGGATAAACTCCATCACCAGGCACCCATGCCACTACGCTTTTACTTCTCCAGTCTGCAGGTACTAATCGAGGTAGCAACTCCTCGAGTACTTGACCAGTTAGCAGAGCCAAATTTGTAGTCCCACACTCAGCAATCTTTCGCAGTCTCTCAAAAACATCATTCGCCATTGTCGAATCGACAAGCATGTAAGGAACAGCGTTTTTCAAGAGTTGGGACTCTTCATCTGTTGTTACTAAAATCCGTTCACCTGCTCCAGAAATTGCGATTGTTGCTAAAGAACCGTTGCAAAGAGGTACCAGAGATAATCCCTGCAACTTTTCACCAGCATCCTTCTCTTCAACATCAGTCAAGCAATACTTTAGAGCCAAGACATTTGCAGCTGGACCATCCAAGGTACGTCTTGTGCCAGCAATGGATCTACGCAACATAGAAGGTGTTAAATGTCTCACATACGGGCAGACCTCCCGAAACTTGGCAATTACAGCATCAGGTGCACTTATAATAGGAAGGCCTGCATGAGCTAAAGCATCACCTAACTCACGTGCTTCAGCAAAGCTGTTGTCAGGGAAAACCGCTCGTTTTGGGGATACCCATTTTCCTTGGATTGCATTTGTATACAACACAGGAAGGTCCAATTCAACCACCGACTTGTATACTTGTTTCAGCAAGGAATACCAGGGTTCGTGAACAGATCCAGTGGGCCACAAAGCATGAAACATTGCAGTAGCTCCCAATTCGCGAGCAGCTTCAACTAGCAGCCGAGCATAAGCAGGAGCTGCAACGTCTTCTAGGAGGCAGCGATTCCAGTCTGCTCGTAACTTTCCTCCTCCAGCCATATCATCACCATACCATATGTCTCTTCGGTTACTAGATAGTTCAAAGTATCCATTTACATGAACAGGAAGACCAATTTTTACAGGTAAAGGAAGAAAGCAAAATGCACGACCTTCAAATTCCTCTTTGCTCTCAAAGTTGCTAGTTTTGTCACCCATTGAACCATCCTGGATTTTCTCCACCTTAATCACGGCATCCTTAGATTGGTTTGTAAACAAAGGAGCAGCTATTCCTGCCCATGGAATAAAGCCGCGAGGACGATTTTCAAGAGCAATTGCTTGGTCCCTAGCACGCTTACCACCCATAGCAGTACTAATCAGCCACTTTTGTGACTGTTGCATACCAGCCATTGTAAGCGATACTTCTACAGTCTGACAATGCCATGGCAATTGAGAATCGGGGGTCTTTGTAAGTTTTCTATAAAACTGGTCCTTGTCGATTGGGTTTTGCGGATTGCCCCGTACAAAATCATAGACGGGACTCACCATTGTAGTCACAGGGCGCCTCACTTGGTAAAGGAGCTCCATGTCTTTATCTGGACTGTCACGAACATACACCGAGACACTAGCCACATTTCTTAGAAACAACACCGCTTCTTCGGCACTGCTTTTAAAGGACCAAAAAAGAGCCACCACATCCTCAGGTGTATAAGCTCCTTGCTTGATCTCACTATTTGCTGCTGTTTTCTCAGTTCGCAAAGGAAAGCGGAAGAGGGTGCCTGGATATGACCTTTGCAAATCACATCCAAATATCAAATACGGCCGCAGCTGATCAGGAAACTGTTCAAGCAGACCTCGACCTACAAAACTGATTTTTAGCCCCGGATGAGAGGGCGTCACACCAGGAAGATTACAGGCATGGGGATCGAACATGACCAAATTACTACCAGAAATAAAGCCCGGTATGTCAGTAAAATGATAAACTGAATTGAATCCAAGTCCAAAACGTCCAATCGCGGAAGGCCTCTCGAGCTTGCTGTCCTGCCCGATTCGGGAAATCGCGTAGAGATCTCGTGAAGTGAATACAGAATCATTTTGGCAATACAGTGCAGGACCTTGCCAGTCGGCCATACTGGGCGATAAGACCGAAGACGTTCCAAACTCCGACCGATCTAACAAGAAATTAACCTCTCGAGCCCCTGCATCATCAGCATTCTGCACCAACTCACAAAGAATACCGGGTCCATCTGAGTACATCTCTACAATGTGCTTCAACCGTGTCGTTAAGGCTTCATGTTGACCAAACGCTTCGGCAGCATCGTGAAGGCCCAAGTCCATTGAGTCAGCACTTTCTGCAAGTAGCATCCGCCGTAACGATCGCACACCTAACCTCTCTGCAACGTCTGTGGATATTTTGGCATGGACAAATCTAGGGCCTCTAACAGATTTTGTGGGCCCCGTTAAGTTGCCACCTATTGAACCTTCTGAATTATGCAGCCAAGGGGCATCGTTGTACACTAGCTCTAGGGCAGGAACCAAAACAGAATTCGAATCTGGAACAAAAGCAACCACTTCCTGTGAATTAAAGTGGAGATCAGCTAGATGCTGTACCAACCAGACTGCTGCACTCAGCTGCTGAGGATCCAAAGATGCACCCTCTTTATCTTTCGCCATATTTGAGAGGACAAGAGCAAATTCGGTCGGTGTTAGTGTCTCCCTTACGCCCAGCTCGAGCAAAAGCTCTTTGAAGGCAGCCAAATCTGCAGGAATGATTCGAAGAAATGGTGCCAGATGCAGGGGCCCACTAAAAGCTACTTCTTGAACGTTGGCAAAACCATCGCCAACCCACACCCAGCGACTTCCCTCCAACACCGCTTTCACAATCTCCACTTCATCACTTCCAAGCATCTCATTCAAGAGAGCATAGATCCTTGGAACCACTGTCGCTAATGCTTGACTCATTGCAAGATCTTGAACGACAACATGATTCTTCCCAAGTTCCAGCAACTGTGCAGCCAACCTTCTCCCACTAGGCCGTGCTGACCAACCTAATTTGGAAGCTAATACAGAAGACTTACTGCACTCTCCATCTAAAATCCTCATGCTTGCAGACACTAACCACATATCCTCCTTCAAAGCCACATGCTTAGGAGGTGCAACTGAACTTCCCACTGAAGGCCATGGCAAATGGGGATGAGGAGGATGCATTAAAACAGGGCACCAACTCAAGCTTGAGAGCTCATGCCAGAATCGACTGAGTGTTGCATCAGACGCTAAATCGGGGGACTGGAAAATAGTTGAAACTTTCTGGAACATGCGGCCTAGAGACTTGTTTGAATCGTCCAAAGGACGTTGTGGAAGCCACCGAATCGCGTTAAGCTCTAAATAGGACAAGAGTTCCTGACCTTTCTGATGAGCCCGGTCTGCATCACTGGATAACAAAGTTTCAACTTGTCGAGCACTCTGTAGAATTGTCTCCGAAGATACTGAAACCCTCAAACCCAGCCCTTGCAGCATGTCCAAAACTATGTCATTCAGGAAAACTCCCGCTGGAAATAAATCTTGATTATCCAGCAGCGCAGTAAGTTCTGGACTACGAGGATCATATAAAGTTTTTGGGGTCACCAAAGTACCACTAGCTGTAGGTACGAACGCAAGTTGCTTCAAAGCTTCACGGAAACTACTGTCTACTGCGGTTAACTGTGGAAGCTCCTTCAAGATAGACAACATCATTCTGTCCCGCACCTCCGGTGTTATCTCATGTAGGCGATTAAAAACCCTCCACTTATAAAAGATGGGCCTTTCCAAATGCTTCACCTTCAGGGATCCCGCTAACCATTCTAGTTCTCTATCTGAATAGGTGCATAAAAACTCAGAACTGAGCAGAGCTTCATCTACGCCCACAGGAGCCAAGAATAACTTAGAACGAACAAGATCAACATTTATCTTAGTTCTAATATCCGCCCCTGAGTAAACCTCAAAAATAGGGAAGGCCTTCATAATGTTGAGACGCTCTTCATTCATTTCGTCACCAGCATACCACTTTGCGTCATATAAGAATTCGCGCAACTCAAGCCTTTCAGCAGCATCAAGAGTCTCAAATGCTCGGGCCAAATGTTGCGGCTCCTGAGAAGTGACACAAGAAACAGAATCTACAATGCCCGCTGCTGTACTATCATGCACATAAGCAGATAACTTCGGGTGCTCAATACCCATATCGCTCCTTAGAATTCGACACCCCAATTTAATCAATATGGATTCTAGACTCGCATCCCATACTCCAGCCTTGATTATTTTGGAGTGAATCTGAAGCTTGCAGAGGTGACCACTTGTCGTAGGCAGCAGAGGCCATTCCTTGAATATTGACAAATCCTTACAGTTTCGTTGAAGGTACTGCCAAACTAGTGTCAACCACTCTTGGCGAGGATGTCTTGGATTGGATCCCGGTTTCCACTCTATCTCTTCTACACCATTCCATTCAGGTGGGAGCAGACGCTCAAATAGCTGAGCCAAAATTACTCCGGAAAGACAGTACAGATTTGTATGTGATGTTGTTGCAATATTTTTGAGCCTCTCCATCAAATTTAGACCTATGCTCTGGTCGACCAGCTTATCAGGAAGTGTTTCTAGCAGCTGGTATTCTAGGTCCTTGCAGATCACAAAGATATTTACATCATTCCTCTTCCCAAAAACTCCCAGCGTACCGTTCGCTAACGGAATGAGTGGCAAACCAAGTAGAATTTCGCCAGCCTCGTCATCAATCACATCTCCAAGGCAATAATCAAGTATAACCAAAGCATTACTTCGCTCAACCAAACCAGAATGCTTCCCAGGCTTGCGAAACTGAGATCTGATTAAACTAGGTAACACCATTCTGGGATTCGGTACGCAGAAGTTAAACAATGTATCTCGCAACAATGTGCTTAACCGAACCAGAGGAAATCCCTCCGCAGTTAAAGCACTTGCTAGCCCCACAGCATCGGAAAATTCTTCGTCGTGGTACAGTGCCTGCTTAGGAGTAATCCATCTACCACCCCCAGCATCTGTGTAAAGCAACGGGAGGTCGGCAGCAATGGAATAAAACCGCTTGACCATAGCCAACCAAGGCTCCACAAAATTACCGCAGGGCCAGAGAGAATCGCACAGAGCAATGTGGCCGAGATGCTTACTGGCTTCAACAAGCAGTACTGAAAAAGCTGGAGCTATTACATCCTCCAGTAGACATCTGTTCCAATCTGACCTCAACTTCCCACCTCTGTCCATGTCTGCACCGTACCATATATCTCGGCGATTAGACGACAACTCAAAATACCCGTTTACATGCACAGGTAGACCTGTTCTTACAGGGAGCGGAAGAAAACAGAAAGCTTGACCTTGCAATGCCACTTCCTCTCGAGCCTGCAGTCAAAAGCCATGCCAATTCTTAAATTTAACAACTTGATGGTTTTATACTGCATCACTAATACACGAGTATTTTGAAATGAACGAGACATGGCACAAACGTCTTTACTTATGCTTACAAATCATGCAATACCTGACAACTAGCAACAACGTCTGAAAACCATCAGTATTTTAAAACGTAATGACTAGATCTTAAATTCAGCATTACGCTACCTTTGCGCAAATACCTTGAATTACAATTAAAAACACGCTACGACAGTACCTTGCTATAAAATCGCCTGCGAATCTTAAGTAACTCGATAAGAAAAGGAAAGCAAAAATTACCTTCTGTCCACTGCTAGCCACTTTAGCTGCTACACATGCCCAGGGAAGTAGATGAAGATCATAGTGATCCTTGGCATTTTTGGCCAAAGTTCCTATTCTGCTACCTGCAGCTCCCATAGACTGAACAATTAAAAAAGACTCAGCCTTTTTTTCTCCTTCATGAGGTCCCATAAGCACTTCACTGACAAACTCTAAAGTGTACACATCATTATGGTTTCCCGCGTTACTTGATTGAACTGCGGGTGACTTGGATAACCGTGTAAATGCTTGTCTATGCCACCTTAATTCAGAAGTAGGAGATTTTATACTACATGAATACAACTGTTGAGGTTCAGGCATCTCTGCATGCCACTCATAAATCTCTAAAACTTCCACACTTTTCAGAAAAAGCATAGAGTGGACGCCTTCAACAAAAAGATCCTTTAACAAGTTTTGCATGTCCTCCTCAGAGTATGACTGCCTAGACAGGCTGCTGACTGCCGCTTGAAGCTCATTGCGGAGTGGGAAACGAAACAATGTGCCTGGGTAAGGAGATTCCATATCACACCCGAAGGCGCAATACGGTGAAAATTGATCCCTGTACATTTTCAGTGCTCCGGTACTAACAAAGTCGATTCGCTTCCCTGGATTAGCTGAGGATACCCTAGGAAGAAATTTGCAATGAGGATCAAACATAACAACATATCTCCCACTCACAAACGAAGGGAGATCTGAAAGATGATATACGGAATTGAATCCAACCCTGCAAAGCCACAAAAATTCAGCAACTCATGATCAAAGACCAAAGAATGAGTCCTATTCATGTAAAAGTCCTTTATAACCTTCATAGTCACTTTCGAAATGCCAATACATACACAATACATCAAAATAAGTGCTAGGACAAAAAAAACCATTCATACCCGAACCGCCCTGTTTTCCACGCTTGGCCACGTTTCTTACTATCTCCAATTCTTGAAATGCTCACAAAGTCCTCCTCTACAAACGTTGCATTGTTGAACGCCAGCAAAGCCGGACCTTGCCACTCGGCCAAAGGTCCATATGCCAAGCTGTTAGTTCCATGCCGTCGGCGATCTAAGCAAAAACTCACTCTTGTGGCTCCAGCGTCATCCGCGTTCTGAATCAATTCCTTCAGAATGGTGGTTCCTTCTGGATAGTTTGCAAGGACTTCACGGATACGTTGGGTTAAGTCTACCTTCTGCCCAAAGTCCTCCGCAAATCCAAATTCCTGCGGATCCATTGTAAAATGGTGGCTTCACTCCAAAATAAAGTAAAAGCTATTCCTCAGCCAGCTTCGGTCTCCTTCCCAACAAAATATATACCGACTTTGCCAGCACTGTGTATCCTGAATACCACCAGCATTCTTTCCTCTTTTCTGCTGCAAATCACGGTAAAATTAATCAATTCTTAGAATAACCACGAGTATTCCTATGCCCATGAAGAAAATTGATGCAGTGTTTAATAGATAGAGTTTCTGCATGCCACCATATCATCATCTTGTCCACTTGAACCATAGTACTAAGAATCGGTTCGCATCACATGTATGACGTCCAGAGGGGTGAGCGACCCCAAAAATATGACATGCTTTATAAAAGCTCTATGTCTCGATAAGTATTTCGAATAGCAGTGGTGATTCCCAGTGTAATCACAGGACTCACAAAAATCGTTCTAGACAGACGCAGTGGTGCAGACTTATAAATTTAACCAAACCATAAAATGACGACGCCTAAACTTAAGACCAATACAAACTTTCAAGTCCTTAGAAGAAACTATGTTTTGGAGACTCTGTCTCGTACTACACAGCATAACCTAACACTCAATCGTGGTTTGATTTCTTCATTGAAAGAGCTAGCTATCTCTGAGGCTACTCAAAAAAATCATGGAAAGAAAAGATTCTTATTGTCTTTCTGAAGAAACCCCCAATCTCGACTGGGAAACCGAAACCCCAACCAATTTGCTAGTATATGCACCAGGAATGACGCAATAATCGTCCAATCAGACGCTGATCCTACCAAGATTGTACAATGCTACAAAGAAAGTAGTTGAAAATACAATCCCGACAAATTAAATGATCCGCCACAAAACACTTGAAAGCACCGCTACCATCTCCAAGGTTCTTGTAAATGGTTCGAAGTGAGAATTAAATCAATCGACCTGTAGCTACTGAACCCCGCAATCTCCCCTCAACAAACACTCCAATCAGAGTCAAGACGCGAGAGAGGAGGGATCAATTTAAAATTAGAAACAAAATAAAACAAAATAAACAAAAATCAATTGACAACGAGAATTTCCTGAAATTCACAAGGACTTCCATCGCCAGGCAGCAAACTTCAGATCAATCGACTACAACGAGCAATCAACTCACCAATCGGCCACGTCCAGCTCCGTAATCGCACAACGCCGTCCCTCCACAACTCACCATCGCCCGACATTCATCATCGCGCCCCTAGAACTCCCTCGCACGCAAACCCCGCTTCCGACCAATCCATGGGCCGCCCTCTCCACCGCTATAGTAAGAGCAAGCAGCACATGAGCTCCAAGAGGGTGACGTCTCGGGTTGTGGCGAGAGCGGGGCACTTTCCAGCGAGGCTTCCTGCGCCGGAAATCTGCACACGGGGAGTGAAGCAGCGAGCGAGAGCTTAGCCGGAGTTCAACGCCGATCCTATCTCCCCTTCCATCCCCTTCCCAGAGCGAGAGACAGACAGACAGACAGAAAACACGGAGAACAGTTGAATGCTGTTGCCCTACTTCCATCGGGGCCTGCAGCAACGCAGCCGCGCCGAAGGTCCCCCCGCCCCCCCTCCTGTATCCGTGGCCGACTGGACCACCACCGCAGACGCCTACTCAGCCGTGCTTTGCCATGGTGGTGGTTTTCCCGGTGGTGGGTCCGGTTCCCATGACCACGAACTTATTAACATAAGGAGAAGAAAGCTGGAATTTTCGTCGTCCGCAAAAATATTGGGAACGCTTTTGGGAACGGTTCTGGGAACGAAGCTGGGAACTTTGTTGGTAACTTCATTCACAGCAGCACTAAAGGAATATACATGGCTGATTTAGCCCTACGTATCGCCTTACAAAAGAATAACATGGTTTCTGTTTAAATCAATTTTGGTTTGGCACGATATTTGCATTTTATTTTTTTATTTTTATTAATATGATAATTGAATATGCAATGTCTTAGTGTGTCACATTTCAAGGTTAGTTTGCACATGCATATCTAGAATTTGTTTTCATTACTTTCTTGAATAGTATAACTAGATAATAAACATTCAAATATATATATATATATGTATGTATGTGTGTGTGTGTGTGTTATTACTATTTTCTCCTGTGCTTCCGAATTTCTCCTGTTTATTTTTTTTGAAAGTCTAAAAAAAACCATTTTTTTGCTATAGGAAAAAAAAATTAAAATATTAAAAAATTAAAATATTTTCATAGTGTTGTACACCAATTTTAATTTCAATAAGGGCTTTTGGAATTTATTCTTTTTGAATGAATAGAAATCGGTACTTATAACATTGGTGAAAACTTATAAAATTTTGGCTCACCAAATTTTTATGTAACTGATGACATTTTGATGTGCATATGTTGTAAGTCATAATAATTCTCTTGTTGTATTCTTTTGCCAACTACAACATACTTTCTGCACAGTTTGCTAATGATTCTAACAATTTCAGGAAAGTTCGAGTTAGAATTACATCTCAGTCTTTAATATTTGTATGAAAATAATAAATTGGATATATATATATATATATATATACATTTTAAATATTTTAAATATTTTAATTATTAATAAAACACTATTTAAAAGAAACTTACAAACATTATATGATTACATGTTATGTCATTATTTTGAATGGATTGGTAGTAATGATAAATATTTGTGATTATATTGATTTTATTGAGTATTTTTTAACGTGTTGTTGATGCAAGTATTAAAAGTATTTTAGCTTTTTGTTATAAAATTTATTTTTGAATTCACATTCAATATTGTGCAATTCGTCTTGAGCAATATTCATAATATCAAACACATGAAGTGAGACCGTAGTAATGTTTTAATAAAGATAGGCATGATATAAATGTTTGATGTATAATTTATTAAGTAATATTAATAAATTAGGTATTATTTAGATATTAATTTTATACAAATATAATATGTAGAAGATTGGTGATGCATTACTACAAATAAAAAAAGGATTGAACCATATACTTTGCTTAGTTTTATTAAATAAAAATTATATTTTTTTGAAATTTTAAAGATTATTTTAATACAATTATAATGAATTCATATTTATTTTAATACAAATATAAAGATTATTTTATGACATTTTAATTGAATTAACAATTAAAGAGTTAGTTTATTTTATTATCCAAAATATATTTAATATTTAATTTTAAAATAATTATCTTATAAATTTTTGTGTAAGTACATGTATATTTTATACTTGATAAAGATTTATTTTGATACAAACTTTGAATATATCAAGTAGATCAATATTTTATAGTATTTATAGTATTTTTTTTAATATGCAATGAAGAGAGCCAAAACTCACTCTAAAATCTTATTTATTATATTTTATTAGTTTATATAATATATTTTAGCACCATTGTAAATTTGTAACTTTTAAAAAACATTCTTATTTATTTTTGTTAGTATATATATATTTTGCTATAAGTTCTAAATTTATTTATACAACTAGTTTTTACTATCTTAAGAGTTGATTGCACAATTATTAAAAATAATATAACAAGAGATGTCTACAACTTATAGTTAATACTACTTGCTTGTAATTTTGTTTTAAAAAAATATTATTTATATAGATGCATTTTAGATATTTAATTAACATATAGACCGTTAACAAGAGACAAAATAATATAATATAATACAAATTTATTAATTTTATAAATTATTCTATTTAGAAATTATTACTTATACTTTTTTATTATAAAAAACACAAATTTATAAAAGACTTTGAAACAATTATCTACAAGTTCTATGTATCCAGAATTCTACTTTTAGATTATAATTCTTAATAAGGATTTTATTATAATAATTTATATGATGTTTTAAAAATTAAAAATCTAAAAAAATACAAATTAAAAACTTATAAATTATATGCACATGTATATGTATGCATGTATATATATATATATATATATATATATATAAAAAATAAAGAAATTTTAACTTATAATTATTATAAAATGTTTTGAATTTAATTTTAACTAGTATTTTTTTGTTAATTTTGAATTTTTACTTTTTTTAGCGTGTATTATTTTTAAGTAATTTTATGTATAGTCTAAAAATCCATTATATATATATACATATGTATGTATACACGTATTCTAGTAAAATCTTGTGCCATTGGGCACCGAAATCACCACACAGTGCCATCCATTTCTCATTTATCTATGTTCATCCATATTCGGCCAATAAGAAGGATTTTTTATGTCTTTATTTCATATCTAAGCTGTTTCATACATATATTTATATATGTATATATATTGTTATTTATTTAATTGAAATGTTTAATTTCTAATTTTTAGATATTTGATATATATATATATATATATATATATATACATTTTTAAAAGTATGAAGTTTTAAATGTTTAAACTATTAAAAAAAATCAATTAAAAAAATATTAATTAAAATTGGATTCATTTTATTCTTTGTAAATTTAATTTTTGTTTTAAATTATTTGAACTAAATTTAATCTGTAAATCTTGGTTTTACTGTTTTATATTAAAGTATAAGGATGTGAAATTGATTTACATATATACATATACTTATATATTTATTGGATTGGATTGATTTTAATTCCAAAAAGTTTTTTGTTAATTTATTATACTTTTTAGAATTATAAAAAAGAACATTCAATTTTTAAAAAATAAGAAAACTCATTATTCTTGTTTTTTTTGGAAAAATAAATGATCTAATCAAATATGTTAAAATTCATGTTTTAAGAAGGGACATGATGTTGGGACATCACCCTTGAGTTAGTAGGTCTTCTCCTGGGTGTGTGAAGCTGGTACAACATGTCCAAAAAAGATTTGCCTAAATAATAACTTTGGGGGCTTTAAATTAGAAGTACAATCATGTAAAGCTTCTACAAGAAATCATACTACAAGTGTATTTTTAAGTATAAACAAGCAAGTATCTTGAAATATCTAAAGGTTAGATGCATGACCAAACATGCCAATGGGGACCAATTCTAATTATTTCCAAATAGGACAACTATCATCTAAACAAGTTGTAGTAGCTTGTTACGTTTGGGGGGAAGGGGGAGGGGGGGGGGGGTTTAATGTCTTGCTAACACACAGGTAACATCCCTCTTACAAGTCCCTTTAAGAACTCAAATCATGGAATTAATTAATAAGAATGTAATTTTTAGATTTAAGTAGTCCTTAATTATAATAGATACTCTCATATTCTTGCATGTTGTGCTAGATTTTCAATTCTACCATTCAAAAAAACTGACATGAAAAAAAGTTTTTCAATTAATATACAAATTAAGATAAAAATTTGAGAAATTTTAATTATATTAGTAGTGAAATGTTGATTTAAAGCTACACAGTCTCAAAAGAAAACATTTAACATATCAATGCAAATATCAATCTACAAAACAAACCTAATCTTAATGCAATAAGTCAACCTCAAAGCATTTTCACTGCTCTGTAGTATGCAATTTACTGATCAGGTTTTGAAATAAAATGGAAGTTAATAATTCTTCAAAAGGACTAATGGCGTCCAAGACAGCTTTAGTCAAGCAGAGGATTCCCATCAAATTATTAAAATGAAAAGGACAATAAAGTGGCATCAGAATAATTCAAAGACTGACTGTACGAAAGAGTCAACGAGCAATATATGTGCGTAGGTAATTGCAGACAAGATACGTCTGCAAGTCAGAGCAGGGCAAATCTGTAACTAGGCCTGTTCACACAGGCTCAATATGGAGGAAGAAGACTAGAATATACCATTTTCAGACCTACACAAATGCCCACATGGGGGATAATAACAGCAGTTCGGCTGTTTGAAAGCATTTTAACTCCTGTTTTCGGCAAGCAATTAAGTATATTTTTGCCCAATTGCAGATGCAAGCCATTTCAGACCTTCCATCAATCCTTGTCCAGTCCTTGCACTACATTCCTGCACAAAATAACTCCGGCCTTGTACTTCGTGCAGATCAAGTGCCACGGTGACTTCAGAGATGGACATTGCCTCTGGATTATCCATTTTGTTTGCCAAAACCAACAAACATACGTTATTTTTGTCATCACTCAATACTGCGTGAAGTTTATCGCGAGCTTCATGCATCCTCTCGTTGTCGCTCAGGTCAACAACAAATATCAAGCCCTGAAAGAACAAACCAGTTGACCACATCATTGACCTGCAACATAAGTAGCAGTAGTCCTTACAAACACATAAAACAACGTTTCCATCGTCGAAGAATAAAACACATACCACTGCGTCGGGAAGATAATAAATCCAAAACGGATTATTTGTCCAACCACCGAGATCCCAGACTGATAAGTTGATATTGCCTAACTCAATGGTTTCAACGTTGTAGCCAATTGTCGGTATAGTCACTACCTCACGTCCTAGTTTCAGCTGGTAAAGAATTGTTGTTTTTCCTGCACAACATCCAGCAAAGAATCCAGTAAAATCAGCACTCAGAGCTCGACATCAGCAGAAATCAACGCAATGTTGTTGCAGTAATTTCTTTAGTGCCGTGGTAAAATAGACTTAATTTTATGAAAAAGAAAACCAATGATACGATGAGAAAGATCTTATGTACCTGCAGAATCAAGTCCAACCATGAGTATCTTGTGGGTCTTGGTTCCCCACAAAGTACTATCAAGCAGCTTCCCAAAGTATATCCCCATTGTTGATAGGAGCTGCCTCACAAGTATGAAGTAAAGGCTCCAATAAATATTTCAAGGTCATACAAGACACACTTGAAAAAGCCTTTACAATGAACGGTATCATGCAGTTCACAATAAGCACCGAAGCACAGATAGGTGATGTCCAGGCAATCAATGCTAACTGATTCAAGAATATCGCGCCTAAGTGTTTTCGCCAGATGACATATTTGATGACCTCATGACTAACTTTCGTTCAAGTGGGTAGCAAGAAAGGAGTGCGCTAAGTTGCTAAATTTTTTGTTCACATCACCAGCACTGGCGTACTTGTTCATACAATCCACAACCTCTGGTTTCAAAATTTCTGCAAAAACATTGTGATATTGAAGAAGTTAATACCACAGTCACGTTGAGACATCAGCGCCAAAAGGTTCACTCCATGTCTCCAAAAAGATCTAGTTATAGTTCTGTGGTTCGACATTCGATTACCTTTTCTGGTTGCAGGGTTACAGAGGTAATATAACGTTGCAATAGCCGATAGAACCTGAGTCAGCCAATTCCAACAAACAATCAACTACCTCAGATGTTGTGAAGTTTAACAAAAAATAAATTTCTCTCCGAAAGTCTACACTACAAAATAGAAATGCATGCTAAGTGAAATAGAAAGAAAAAATAGCATTGAAATGATTGGCTCATAGAACAATTATCGGACAGTCAAAGAAAGATTCATACCGTATTCTCAACAGGGCTTGATAAGCATTGAATAATCAGAGGTATTCCACCATTCTTCACTACAATGGAAGCATTCATGGAATCTGCGCAGTGAATGTATAGAATTCTACTTCTTAAAATTAACCTGACAAATTTATAAATAGTAAAAGAAAGGGAAATTGCACGAAATGATGACAATTGACAACTTAAAACAGCGTTGATTACAGAAAGGAGAGCAAACAAAAAGGATGCGAAACCTCACCAGCAACACAATTGCAGATTCCCCCCAGAGAAAATTCAACAAGCTTCTCATTAGGCTCCGCCAAGCAGTCTAGAAATAAGTCCAGAACGTTGAGCTGTGAAACAACCAAAGTTGAGTAAAAAGTAGCGTACAAGTCATAATCTAATTAAGTGAATGTTACTTCAATGCATCAGACAACAAAAGACGGAAAAGTAAGAATTAATTGCTTCCACGCGTTTAGTATTCATATTTATTATTCATTTTTACATACTGCGCGAAGATATTCGAAGTTGAATGGATCGTAAGCGAAGTTGGCCAAATGCGCTACTACTTGCTCTTTAGTTTCTGCACTCGACCAAAGAATACAGTAAGATCCAATGCAATTATACATGTGAAAATTACATGAACTTCAACATCCAAATTTATCACAGCTGATTATTTAGCTTCAGAATAAGGTTATCTGAGAATGAGCAAAGACATGGCACCACCAGTCGAACCTTCATGAACAGTTTGTTGAAATTCCGTTACAAGGTCCTGCACATGGCCAGCATGCCTCCTCAGCGAATGATTATGACAGGATTAACGTCGGCAAACAAATGAACAATTTTTTAAAATAAAAAACGAAATGAAGAATTTAGGGTTTAGGATTTAAAATTTGGAAATTCTACACAAAATATTATGAATTCAGTTGCGCCATGGCTGTGTGAATGATATATGTTTCACAATCATCACGGCAGAGGCTTCAGCTGTCAACAAAGCAGAAAATTGAAACTCGTTCGCCAGAAATTTGCACTTACGAAGGGTGATTTTGGCAACCCAGAAAATATTGACAGTCAATAAGCAGTCAATTTTACTAAGAAAGGATGATTTCGACGTAACTGAACACCAAGTTCTACACAGAATCTGAAGTGCGGTACAACAGAAGCAGAGACTAGAAGAGAAGGATAACGCGATAAATCGAACGCACTTGCAAATATTGGTCGCGAGCGGTGCCATATTTGCCGGTCCGTTCCTTCTGACGAACCGCATTGCTGAACATGACTTCCTCCGCCCACTTCTGGCCGCCTCGCAATCGGTGCCAAGCAGTCTGTAAAGCTTGATAAATACGTAAACTTAACCTGGAATGTTTTGGCTGGATGGTGGAATTCGAAGCTCCGAAAGCTCCGAGAGGTCGGTAGCCAAGTTGCCTGAGGCGAGGAGGATGAGCGTGCTTTGGAACCGTGGTAATAAGCACCACGGTCATGTGCACATTTATCGACGGTTCCAGGCTCACACCGTCGACAACATTCAATTCTTAAGGCTTCTTTTGTTCAAAATGATATGAGGATGAAATGTTTGATATTTTCAGAGAACCCACTGTAATAAAGCAACACGCGTAACACCTTAACAACCTCATTATTGTTAGGAAATTTTGATGTCGTGCATGGAAGGCACAATTAGTTTTCACAATATAAACTAATGTAAAAACAATACTAATATGAATATGAAGATCAATGGATAATTTCAAAACAAAATATAAAGACAAAATAAAAAGCACACATAATTCACAAGATTGTTGCACCATCCAGAACCCCGAAGAACTCATGCTCACACCAGAACCATCTGTGGAGATCAGCATTCACACGACCTTGCTCATAGTCGTGAAACATTTGCTTACTGGCGTAGAGAATATATAGCCGTGCATTGAGGTAACCAATTTGCAAATTAGAATTCTTGAACAAATACTTCACGCGATGTTTTAACCACCATTATTTGATCTCACTCCCCACAAGGTTGAAAAACTCATTCTGGGAGGACACAGGGAAAAGGAGGATAAAAACGAATGAAAGAAACCTCGATTGCAGAGGAAGAAGGAAGAGGAAAAATTGTAATTGGTTAGGGGAGAAAGTGGAACACCCAAAAATCCACTCTGCAAGCTTACAGCGTGTATTTCTAGTTGGTAAATGAAAAATTTACTTTTGAAATTGTTGCATGATATCTTAAGTCTTCACGCCGACTACCCCTGCTATACAGATCCGGACTAAAACCTGAAATTGGTGACGTCTAGAATGAGTACGTTGCTCAGCACTACTCCCATTCGAATAGTAGTGCCCGTTCTTAGAAAATGTAGTGAACAACGTTCATAGACTGTAACTTACACTGCCATGCAGCTCTGTGCATTAACAACCTAATCTTATTAGTGCTATGCTCAACCACCTCTAACCTCTGCAGCTAAGGATCATTTAAGGTAGAAGTTACCAGACAAACAAGATACTCAACTAGCCTGCAGAAAAGTTCATCTACGTATCTAAACTAAACTTAGTCTCAAAGGGTCAATCTCTACTAATTATTTGTACTTGTTGCTAGCTACAGTAAGCAACTTCACATACTAAGTCCTCATGCTACAATTTTGAAAACTACAAAACTGAAGAGGCCATAAGCAGGAGGAAAATACATAAGTGCCCTGGTTCGTGTTGAAAATCAATGAGGGAGGCGAGGTCCAATGACAGAATGCTTTATGGGTTTGGCGGATAAAAGAGACGCAGGGGTCTCCCTCATAGTCGCTTCTTGTTCCGCCAGAGCTCGTGTAGCCTCAGCTCTCCACTCTGCCTGGCGTTGTGCTTCTGCTGTTGGCAACCCTAACTGCCATGCCCATTCTCAAGCCAACCCACACACGCCGCTTCCTTGGTCAAGAAGATGGTACCAGTTCTCTCAGACAAACTGGGATGACACGGTATGTACGTACTCTCAAATGACCCTTACAACCAGAAGACTTGGCAGCATAGGAAAAATAATCTGTACCTCTAAAGAACAAGCTCGTAGGACATAAAGCTAAATGGAAAACTTACCGCAACACGGAATGCATCCATGCGTGCAATCTCACGCTCTTCAATATTGGCGAGCTTATTTCCAGCTGCAATAGTTCTCTCCAATCTCTGCATATACATAACAAAGAAGCGTCAACCTCTTGTTGGAGCAGTCTTCGGTTGTAGCCCATGACTTCCACCTTAGCCGGAGCCTAACAGTAATCAAAGTTTCTATACAAGAAAAGGATTGGACAGGAACGTAAGTGAAGTGCTAATATTAGCCCTCATAATTAACTTGACCAAAGAATAACAAAGGCCGCAAAACGACTCAATTCCAGAAGCGAATATAAATATGAGATTTTGAAGCAATATAGTTACACAGAGGGCAACCCGTGGCATGACAAATTGTCAACGTTCATGACATAAAAAAAATCGGTGCTGTTCAATGTATTCATCCAGAACATAGAGTTTAAACCTAGCTCTCTAGGTCAAAGAATACCTTCTTTTCTGACCGAAGTTTTTTTCTGGCCCTGCATGGCTCAGAACCACCAACCCTGATATAAGTACTGATTCAAAAAATTTGTCCGTAAAATCTGAACTGCTAGAATCCTAATAGTACACAAGCATAAATCACCACTCATTCCTTTAACGGCCTAAAAACAAAAAATACACTTGATCCACCACCAAATGCCAAGTATATTAAAAATGGTCGCTTCAGAAGCAAGGATTGGAATTACAACTTGCCAATCATTATCCTTGATCCAAATAATCATGAAAATTTTAGCCGTCGCAATGACTAAAATGTATATTTTACCTCCAATCAACTGCACCATACAACCGCTGCATTTCTGCTTGTTCTTCTCTTGCTCTCTGCATGTCTCCGCTTGCTAGCCTTGCCTGAAACACTCAAAGCGATTACGAGCCTAAAAAGATATTTGTTCAATAAATTTCACTGAACAGACGCTCGGACAACAGGTCACACACAGGGAACGAAGATAGATGTGAACCTTGGCCATTTCTGCGTTGTGCCTGATCAGTGCCTTCTGCTTTTCTTGGGCATCCATTTTTTCCTAAGTAATATTCAAGCAGGAGATATGATAAGCTTCAGTTTTGTAAGTGCACCATATTTGTAAATACATCGAACGACGCTGAAAATGTTTGGTCCTTAGAAAGTCAACATGTGAATAGGCATTAAAGCAACGATATGATGTACTCAACTACACAACACATGATTATCAAGAAAGTTGATGCCACCCGAAAATCGGAGTATGTATTGTATGCTCAACCTTAAATGTTTAATCCAACTGATACAAAAAGAGCATGTGCCAATCATATAAGAACCAAATTTGATATCGAAACGTACCTGAAGAGGCGTTCGCGAGATTTTAGATATGATAAAACCCTCTTGTGGAGAAGGAGCAACCTCTTCCACTTTGTCTTTCGAATTTTTCTTGCCTTCCTCTTTCCTATGCTTACTGCGTCTGTCCTTATGCCTACTTTCCACCTTATCTCTACTCTTCGTCCTATCTTTTGTCTTTTTTGAAACTGACTCAATATCCCTGTCCCTCGAATTACCACTCCGATGTGATCTCCTCTCCTTTGACTTAACTTTACTACCCGTCCTTTCTTTCCTACGCCCTGATTTCTTTCCTCGACTTCCTGATGATTTGTGCTTGCTGCAAGGATGGACATAATCATAACAGAAAGTATTATTCCATAGTCCAGATATAACTATCCTATTAAGTAAGGTCTACATTCACGAAATATCGTCAGAGAACCAGGCAAGCAATCGTAAGTCATCGTGTTCCGTCCCTCAAGAATAAATTCAATATGTACATTGATTCCTGCTTGTTTTTTCAGGTAAAACAGATCATACCGGCTTATATCTTCTGATTCTGAACTTGAGTCATCCGACGACGACTCATCCGAACTTCTGAGCCCACTCTTTTTAAGAGCAGATCTTCGCCTCTTCCTCGATTTCCTAACATCGTCATCATCAGAATCGGACGAAGGCCCTACAGATGTACTCCAGTCCGTGTCCTCCTCCTCACTTGAAGATCCCGAGCTAACAGTACTTGCCCTTCTTCTCTTCTTGTTGCTCGACCTCGACCAGTTCGATATCATCCTCAAGTGCTTGCCACTCCTACTGCTATCATTCCCGTTCAATTTCGAGCCATTCTTCGACTCAGTCGATTCCAGCCTTTGCCTAGCACTTTTCTCTACCACCTCCTCACCTCCACCTCCACCATCCGGCATAGACTTCATGTCTCCACGATAGAATACGTCCACAAGCCTCTTTGAGGTACCAATTCCTCAGATTCCTTCAATTCCACAAACCCTAATCTTAACTCCTTCCGAAGAAGGCCAGACCTAAAACTGAACCAAGCCTCAGATCTGAGTCCAACGTGACCTTCAAAAATCCTTCAAAACAAGGCAGACGCCACGCTTCCAGGACTCCCGCAGAGGCTCCAATTCTCTTGATAATTCCGCAAAATTCCCGACAATTCGCCAACCAATTTCCTCAACAGCTCGCTATGCCAGTTGTGGGGCACGAATCCTGTGAACAATCTTGCGTCTCACGTCCGCATGCCCCTATCACCGCCTATCTCATCGCCGTCGAGTGTATTGGTTCAACAGAAAGAACAAAGCAGGCCCATGACCCGACCTAAACCCGTCCATCTCAACGCAACTCGACCAATGTGCATTGCAAGAAACGATTTCAAATCTCACAAATACTTGCAAAATTTAAATAGTTTTCAATCAAAACACATTTCCAAAATATTTTGGAGTTTCTGAAGACCATTTCCATGACCCTTTTAGAATTATTATTTTTAATATATTTTTATATTTTATATTCATTTATCAACCATTTTGCAGTTGAAAATACTCTTGAAAATTAAAAAATATTGCATTTGAATAGTTCTATGGAATTTTTATTTTAAAATTTTATAATATAGAGAAAAATAATACTAATATATAAATATAGATTATAATGATTGGCTAATTCTATATATATATATATATATATATACATATATATATTGGTTCAATGATTGTTATGGATATATATAGGTACTCTAATAAATATCTATATGATTAGGTAGAAGTAGATAAAAATAGGTTAATTTCATAATATCTTCTAAAAAAGCTTCCTAGAAGCTTTGTAGATATTGTTTTGACTTTATATATATTTGTAATTGATTGATAGGATAGAAACTTGGTCAATAAGTTAACCACATGTTGATAGCTTGCGGAAGAAGTTAACTATGTGGCCATATATAGGAAACTTGCTTTCTACATTGTCGTATTATGTGCTTTCCTGCTCGAGAACGCGCCGGGCGTCTGGCTGTAGAAGGTAGTATGGAGATTCGCCGATAGTCAAGCAGTCTATCAGTTTTTGACTGCTGGAATATAAACGACTGCAACAATGTATCGTAAATCTATACGGATGCTCTTCGAATGCTTGTCGAAGTCTTTTTTTTTTGCCCCAGCCGATAGGTCTCTAGACGTTACAGAGAACCCCGAACAACCCAAACTGTTAATCTTCAATACCCCCTTGTACTTACGATCTTGTATCCACTGACTGTCCTGTTAGATTAACCCAATAAATTTCATTCACTCCGCATACTCAATCCTATAGACACCCCTTTAATCCTTCAATCACAGACGTAACTCGATTTTACAAAACAGTCAAGAGTATTCAAACCCACTTCATTTAAAAATCCCGATTCACCATTACAACACTGACTTCAGCAGCGATTGTCTCAGTCTTCCCAAAACTCTACGAAGAAGAAAAATCCAAATTCTATGTCTTTCCTTCCCCGACCCGAAGCATGAAGCTCCTCTCTCTAATTCCCTTGATCTTCAAAAAAACCTCCAATGAAAACCGAATTGGTAACCTTGCAGAAGCTTGAAAACTAGCTTCCCCCCCCCCGATTCCCCGAAAAAAAAACCTCCTTCCTCAAAACTATATCCCTCCTAACCTTATCCTCTGAATTTCTTCAATCTTTCGTCTTAGATCCGGAATTGGCTCCCACCTCAAGCTTGGATCCGAAATTGGCTCTCGCCGTCAAGCTTTCTCCTCCGTTTTTACCTTTAAGAAATCCATTTACCGAAAACAACGTTCCCTGAAACGGCACAGAGAACAGGACAGCCTGAAACAGAATCGAACCCCGTAATCTGGACCACATTGAGTCGCCCGACCAATTTAGGTCCTATATTGGGAAAGATGCCCGTAGTAACCTGGATGTTCCCGTAATTGGGTCAAATTGGTCCTCGCGTCAGATTGGCTAAGACCCGAAGTCAGACCTGGATTTCCCATAATTAGACCACATTGAGTCGCCCGACCAATTCAGGTCTCATATTGGATAAGAGGACCCGGATTGGATTATCGAAATTGGATCCAATTGGCTCCTCAAACCTGTCGTGTGAATTGGTCCTTCTCTTCCTGCTGACTCCCGTTATTGGAATCGAACAGAGCATTTCAGTATGCCCCGGCTGACTGTAACGGAGTGACTGAACCTGACCACTTAGTATTTGTACTGGAGTTGGTCGATGCTTCCAATATTCGAGGTAACTGAATATTAATAAAATTCCCCTTTCTTTTTATTTTCACTGTATACTCGTGTTACAACACGACATCCACCCCCTCTGAACCTGTGCATCCTCCGGTATGCACCAATTTACCCAATTGCTGTTTGATTCAGAATATATCCCCTACGTCTTTGTCCAGTTCGTCTTCGTCACCTTCATTATCCATATCACTTTCATCTTCTTGCTGCGGAATCTCTGTACCTTCATTAAGGTCTTCCATATTCATCTCTGCATGTCTTCGTTTAAATATTTTTACTCGCTTCCCTGCAATTGGTATTTTCAATTTTGTACCATCTAACTCCCGTAATGAGTAAGTCGCATTATCATGAACAGTTGTTACAACATATGGTCCAAACCAACGTTTTGAAAATTTCCGCAAAGTACTATGTTGATTATCCAGACTATTGTCATAAACAAGTACCCAGTCACCTTCCTCGATTGCTTTTGGTCTCAATCGATGTTGCTTATCGAATCGCGCCTTGTTTTGTAACCTTGCTCTTTTTAACCTTTCCAATGCTATCTGGACATCTTCCGTTCTTTGCTCCAATTGTCGAATCCTAATAGCCAGAAGTTCTTCTCTTGTCAATCCATCTTCCCATGGTAGCATACTCCAAGTAAGTACCTTTTCTTCAATCGGCATAATTGGTTTTTGACCTGTCATAAGTTCTACCGGCATATATCCTGTCACCGAACTATGTGTTGTTCGATCAGCCCATAATGCAAATGACAAAAGCCGTGGCCACTCTTTAACCTTCCCATTACAAGCTTTAACCAATGCTTTCACAATCGACGGGTGACCACGTTCGCTTTTTGCATTCCCTTTCGGATTATAAGCAGTAGTCAGTGATAGTTTAACTCCACATTTTTCAAAGAACTTACGAGCTTCTTGTGCATTTAATTCTCCACGATCTGTAGTGATTTTTCCTACGCACCCGTAATGGCAAATGACATCTTCAAGCAAAAACCTACAAATCCCCTCTGTAGATTTTGTCCTCAATGCTCTTCCTTCTACTTGATTTGATAAATCTTCACGAGCTAAAACCAAATATCTCATCTGCCATAACCCAACCGGCATAATAACCAAATTAACAACCCATTTAAAATGAATAGCCAGAGGATACGTAGGATGAAGACTATCTCGATGTCGGATATTAGAATACGATTGACAGATTTCACATGACTCTACAAATGAGAGCACATCTCGATACATATTTTTCCACCAATATCGTTCCTTGAGTTTAGCAAAAGTAGCCCAGATTCCTCTATGCCCTGCCCATAAACTATCATGAAACTCCTTTAATAATTTTAGTTTTTCTTCCCTTTTGCCTATCACTCGTTGTGGCATCCCGATTCCTTTCTTCGGTCTCTTCCATAAGAATCCATCTCGAAGTAAAAATCCATATGCTTTTTTTCTTATTTGTTTGAATTTTTCTGTAGACCAATTCCCCTGCTTAGACAAGGTATTCAAATAATGACCAATATCCAATAATTCTCCTTCATAAGATTCTTCAAGAAATAGCTTGTCTTCTCTGTTGAGATTTGATATTGAATACTTTCCAGCCGACATCATCAATGTCTTCAACCATTTCGTCCTCCCTCTCGTATCTTGCTCGAGATAGCATGTCTGCTACTAAATTGTCCTTTCCAGTGATATACTTAAATTCTGGATTTAGTGACTTAATATAAGCAATCCATCTCAACATTGCAATATCTGGCGTTGAACAGTTAATAATCATTCCAAGCAATGGCAAGCAATCTGTTTCAATTACTACTACTGCCCCAATCAAATAGTCCTTTTCAGCTTTCATAGCCGAAACAACTCCCGAAAGTTCTCTTTTGACTTGCGAATATGCACGCTGACGAATACTTAAAACTTTAGCCCTAAATCGAACTGCAAATCTACTCCCATTCGAATCATCTTGACCCACCGCCCATCCAACGGCAATTGGACTAGCGTCTACAGTAAGAATCACTGGTCTATTGCACTTATAATCAACCTTCCTCAATATTGGAGGTGACATCAATAATTTCTTCAATCTTTGCATTGCCTGAATATGCCTTTCTTTCCATTCAAATCGGTAACCTTTGCGTAACAGTTCATATAATGGATCCGCTATGTGAGCAAAATGAGGGATCTAGATTCGATAAAATATACATGCACCCAAAAACCTGCGAACCTCTGTTAAAGAACCACAATCCTCTTTCATCTTTCCAATTGCATCAACTTTAGTCGGATCTGGTTTTCTTCCGTAAGATCCACATAAATGTCCAACAATTACAACCTCTCGCACTCCAAATACGGACTTCATACCCGATAATGTAAGATGAACTTCTCCAAGCCGAGTTAAAATCTTTTCACAATCTTGTATATGATCAACAACATATCTGCGACACCCCCTCGTATCTAAAGTTTCATCCTTGTCTCCTTCTCTGCACCTTTTTATAGGAACATCATCCAGAAAAGGCATAGTCTTTTCCGAAATAAAATCTCTCAATACCTTATTCATCCCATTCATCATATGCACAACTGAGTTGGTCGCGCCTTGAGGATGAGTGCACATTCTAACCAATCCAAGCGGTGTCCTCATCGTTGTCATATCTCTACTTCCTTCGGTAAATTGAAATTGATCATAACCTGAATACAAATCACCCATTGAATAGATCGCCCTTCCAGCAAACGCCTCAGCAAATTCATCCACAATAGGTCCAATTCCTGCATTCTTGACAGTTACAGCATTCACCGGCTGCATATCTTGAATAAACCGTAGTGACCCATTCTTCTTAGGTACCGTAAACCATCGACTAGAATACGGCGCAAATGAAGGTTCTAATATTTTCATCTTTATCTTTTCTTTCAATAGTTCCACCAATTTAGGTAAATGTGCCCTCGGTACTGGAATCGGTCTTAGATTCCAAGGTACATGCGGTACAGTGAAGATAACCATAGGTGTTATAATATTTGGATCCGC